TTCTCCACATCGCTTCAGGTTTTAGCAACCATTCATACACGATTAGATGGCCCCATTATGGAAGTATACTTGTCAACAACCGAAATATTAAAATCTTTACTTTCGATTTTCCACCTAATGTCCGCCTGGATGCCCACTGTGGAGGACTTAGCTAAAAGGCCCACTAGGGCCATCATCTTTTTTGAGAGGGGAACTATTTGAAAGAAAAGGATTTTCGCGGCGAAACGTCACGTACGAAATTGAGGAAGAACATCAGATGAATAGCTTGCGAGAGAACGTAATAAAATTTAGAAGATAAACCGAAATCCAATGTATTGGAAACGGTAGAAAAATGACTTTTGAAAAAATAACTACGATATAAGAGAAAATTTTACTTACACGAGCTGTCATTGTCTGAGACATTGCGTGTGATAAAAAATGAGATTAGTATTCACCAAAATCAATTACGCACGCTGATAAAAACGAAACGCAACAACTTCCTTCGCACAATTAATCTTCCAAAAAATTTTCTTAATTTTAGTCATCAAAGATGATACAAAATAGCCGCGTGTGTGGTTGTCCGCAAAAGATGAAAAAATGGCCGTTACATACTTCATAAATGAGCCAATCATAACAGAGAATAATTAGAGCATTACAAAGTATATATATACAAGAACCGTTAATTATATCCACTTGTGTGTCGAATCATTTAGAACCGATCACTCTTAAATATGTAGGAAGTAGAAATGTAGAATTTACCATGATAAGGTCATAAAGTGGGATTTAATAGAGCGCACTAGTTTACGGCTGTTTTTAAAATCAGACAAATACATTCGTTGACTGTTCTGTATTGAATGCAACTCATAGTGTTCAATTGTTTCGTTTTCTCTATATAAATGTTTTCGCTCAAAGTGCAAAAATTCGTTCATATTTGGAACGATACATTCTTCTTTTTTTTATTCAACTATTGCTGAGTGGAATAATCTCCCAGAGTCAGTTATTCGTCTTTCTTCTTTAATGTCTTTCAAAATAGCTTTACTTCAGTATTTCTTTTTTACTTATTTTTTAAAACTTTTTTTATTACTTCTCGTTCTAACCTTAGTTGTCTTCTTTATTTTGTTCTTTTTTATTACTCTTCTTGATGTTGTTTGGCTAGAGTCATTGTTATTTCAGGTCGGGGACCTTTGATAGTTCTCACTTTTCGTGAATAAAACAGTCTTAGTCTTAATACTGAACTGAACTGAACTGAATTTTTATTTTTGCAAGCATGGTTGTTGCAAAGAAAGGCTAATGCAATACCGAAAAAAGTGAAGAAATAAAGAAATAATAAAAGAACAAGTAACAGATAAATTATAAAAGTTGAAGATGCTGCTTCAAAAGACCCTTATAGATTCTGTGACTGGTTTGATTCATAACAGTGCATGGTAGCACATTCCAGTCGTCAGAGGTACGGGGAAAAAATGACCCCGAAGCAGACTTTAGGGAATAGTAAGGTTTTTGAATTTGTTTATCATGCGTTATTCTAGACGACCGTCGATTTGTTGGCGGAGTAATTAGGTTTCTAGCAGACAAAGCACTTCTCCCGTTGTATAGTTTGTGAAAATAAGCAAGGCGAAAATATTTTCGACGAGCGGAGAGTGGCGCTAAATTTAGCCGAGTGAGAAGTTGCGAGGAACGACTGTCATAATGTCTAAGGATTATTCTACAAGCCAACTTTTGTACGTTATCTAACACAAAGAGATGAATAGGACAAGTTGAAATACATATGTTAAAATTTTTTCGGTCACTGCATTTTCTCTTAGAAAAAAGAGACTTAGTAGTGTTTATTTATTTATCATATTTATTCTGAACATCGTATTGAGTTAGAACATGTCCAGACTACATTTTTTCTGACTTAAGTTAACTTTATAATTAATAAGCATCCTTAATTCTGACCCAAGTCATGTTTTCGTGGCGACTTAAGTTTTTATCGACCAATCAGATTTGTTAATGCTTTTCAACTTTTGTAGTTTGAACATGGCCTTATCGTACTATGTGTTATTCAGACTGTTATTACATGTTCGGCTATTGTATCAGACACGTTTGTATACACAGATTTATTTCATCACGATATATCATATAAATTCAGATGATTGTTCATCAGTACGACAGAAAAGCAGTGAGTGTAACTAAAAGCAAGAAATGATGTATCAGCCCAAATGTTTCGTGATTACGGATTCGATTACTTTGGAAATGTACCGAGATGAATTGAACAGTCGAAAGTAATCTGTGTAAAAGTATCGAAACAAGCTCAACCGTCAGTATAAAGAATACTATACTTTAGGAAAGTGCTTAAAATCATGTTTCTGTATAAATTTTATGCAGCAGAGTTGAAGTATAACAAATGTTGTTCAGTATCAGCGACGTCACACTTGTGTGAAACAATTAATTAAGTACATAATATCGACTAAGCTGAGCTCGAAGAGTGATTTATAGTGCAGTTATCACCGTGAAATTAAGATTTTCTGTTTGAAAAAACACTTATACTCATCCGATAGACTTCAGATTGAAAGAAAAACGAAAATACTACTGTAAAGCGCCGGTGACTTTAGTACATTTCTCTTATAAGGACTCGATCAAAAAGAATGATTCTGTGCCTATATTTGATGTTTCGTGTCCCTCTGACCGCTTGGACTTACTTTTTTTAAAAGCTCATTATTTAATTCTCTAGAAAAAGTTCGTGCAATAAGTGCAAAGTAGAGTTATGAGATCAAAAGTTCTGAAGTGCACACCGTCCCGGAAAAGAACGGTAAAAGTATGCTGATGGCATGGAACAAATGTGCTGATTGGACGGTAAAAAACTAACCGACATGCTTCAACCATGTCATTGGTACACTTTGACCGTGCCATCAGTACATTTGTTCCATGCCGTCAGAAAAGAAGTGCTGTTGGAACGCTTTTAGTGTGGCGTGCGTTGGCATTCTTTGTGTGTGTCAAAAGTACGTTTTGCTCTCATAATACTAAAGTAGTAAAGGCTTCAAAATCTATTTTTTCAATAAAAAAACAAGTTTTTTTCCCGGTTTACTAAAATCCTCTTTTTCCTGCAGAACAATGCGCACTTATGTACAGTAATATGTTAAATGGAGTTGATGTTACGGGTAAATGTTGATAGAGACTTGAATGTAGAAAACAGGAGAATGGATTTTCTCCAATTTCTGACAAATTTAGGGTTAAAATACAGTAGGTGCAAAACGCTACTATTAACATTAAATCATGTTGTTCTGAATCCAAATTTTGACTGCGTTATCTTGACTGAAATAGAAGGCTGCACTTTTTTATTTTACAAATTTTCACGGAGTACAGTTTACTGCAAGTGATTTCGTATAATGTCGTAAACAACTTTTATCTTTCCACTTTATAAGATGGAGCAAAAAAACGGAAAGTTGGTCAATACAAGAAACCGATATAAGGGAACGTAGATGAGCGGTTGCCTATGTTGAAACTAATAAGTGACATAGATCAACCGAGAAAGTGCTATTGGATAGACATTTGTTAATAAAACAGTCCTTGTACAGTAAACCGGCATGCTTGTGCTTATAAAGATTCATCAAAAATTCTTCTTATCTTAAAGGAGGTTTTTTTTATAGTACAAACGTTAAAAATTCGCAGAGGTAGTTAACATAGTTGCGGCTAGACAGATCGTTTCTTATTCGTTCAAGAGTAGCCACTATAAGGAAGGAAAAAGAAAAGCATGAAAAACCATAGTATAAAAATAATAAAGAAGATACACAATCAAATAGTTCAGTCTCTCGTTTAATCTCACAGAATCTTAATAAACCGAATGTTATTAAACTCCAAAGTCTCTAAAATTAATGAATATATACAAATGACTGAAGGAAATAGTGTAGAACTCAGATCGTCTTGATCTGAACCGTTCACGCTTTGTTTTCGTATTCACTGAATGCAATCATTCGATTTACTCTTGCAAAAGTTTGTCTTTTTCAATATAAGAGTAGTATGACATTTTTCTGTGCTCAATTTCTCCAAATTTTAAGATATTGTCCCCTTTGTTTTTACTTTTCAAGTTAAACCTATTGTTCTCCGTTATACATGTATACAAGTTTTTCTGATAATTCTTAAGAAGCGATATTTGGATAAAAAAGACGCTTCAGATTCCATCTCAATTACATCTATGGTTTTTTGTTCCAGATCCTTTGTTTTTAAGTTGTCGTTTGTGCAACTTTCATTCTAAAAAAATGGTAAAGTCAATCAAAGTGCATTCTTTTGTTCTTGAAAACTATGATGATTTGAACATTTTTAGTCGTCGCTTTATGTTCTTTATGAACATGCATCTGGTTATTCATTGTTTCGTGTTCGTGAATTTGAAGAAATCGGAATGTTATTACCACAAGTCGAACAAAGTGTACTGGATTTATCTAAATTTGCCACAGTTGTTAAACTTGTTGCATTTTTTCCATTTCAAGTAAGAAAAACCTTCGTTTATAATCAATTTTGTATTAAAAAAATCTCAACTTTTTAGTCTGGTATTAATGCATTAGACAATACAAATTCAATTTCAGAAGGTATAGAAGATTTACATATATATTCAATTGATCATTCTATCAAGCTGTTTTCCTATTTTAGGCTTAGTTCACGATGATCTACGTAATTTTCTCGAATCAAACTTACCGAAACCAAGCAAACGTGCCAAAATGATATTGGGCGTAGCTGATTCAAAAATAGCATCCACAATCAATGAAATATTCGGTATAACATGTCAATACACAGGAGTTATTCCCGAATTATTACGAGGTGTGTATAGAATCATACAATTCTTTGTTTTTGTTTATTGATCATTTTATCAGGTTTTTTTTCATATCTTTCTAAGGTATTCGTGTTCATTTTCCAAATTTGGTTAAAGGTTTAACTGATCAAAATCAGAATAAAGCGCAATTAGGTCTTGGTCACGCATATTCACGTGCCAAAGTTAAATTTAATGTTAATCGTGTAGATAATATGATAATACAATCAATAGCTTTGCTTGATCAACTTGATAAAGATATCAATACGTTTGCTATGAGAATTCGGTAAGTTATATAAAATTCAGCTGTTTTATCTTTTTGAATTGATCTATGTTCCTTGTGTCACTATCAGTAATAATGGGGACTCGTTCTCTCTTTTGGTGGCTACAAGTACATGAACTTTTTTCTTTCAATAAATAACTTATAACTTAAGAAGTAAAGGTCTACAGTGTATTTCTTTCCATTTAGCGAATGGTATGGATATCATTTTCCAGAATTAATTAGAATAATTCCAGATAATTATACGTATTCACGTGTTGTGTATTTAATTAAAAATCGTAAAGAATTTACTCATGAATCACGTGAATCAGAATTAGAAGAAATTGTCAAAGATACAGGAAAAACTCACGCAGTTTTTGAAGCAATGAAAACAACAATTGGTTGATATATTTTGCTTCTGGTCTATTTTTCTTTTATTAATCATTCTTTTCTCTCTTAGGTATGGATATATCACCGATTGATTTGATTAATATCGAATGTTTTGCTAATCGTGTTATACATTTATTTGAATATCGTAAGAGTTTACAAGAAGTAGGTGAACGTGCAAAAGCAAGCGACTTTTATTTTTACTCATTATGATTTTTTCGTTTGATATAGTATCTTCGTAGCAAAATGACGCAAGTTGCACCAAATCTTGCTGTATTAATTGGAGAACAAGTAAGACAGAAAAAAAAAACTTTTGGTTATTGATTCAATGTTTTGAATCTAATTATTTCAGGTTGGTGCACGTCTTATTGCACATGCTGGTAGCTTGACAAATTTGGCAAAATATCCGGCATCAACAATTCAAATTCTTGGCGCTGAGAAAGCTCTTTTTCGGTTTGTCTATTATTTTTACATATTTCACATAGGACTTTGCCGTACAATAAGATTTTTTTATTTAGAGCTCTTAAAACCAAAGGTAATACGCCAAAATATGGCCTTATTTTTCATTCAACATATATTGGAAAAGCAAATACGCAAAATAAAGGACGAATATCACGTTATTTAGCCAATAAATGTGCTATTGCATCAAGAATCGATTGTTTTTCGGGTATGTAGTGGTTTTTTTTTCGCATATTTTGTCTCTGTTATTCTAAATTTCTGTTGATTTCAGATATTCCAACTGGCGTATTTGGTGAACGCCTTAAACAACAAGTAACCGATCGTTTGAAATTTTATGATAGTGGCGAATTACCGGCTACCAATGTTCAAGTGATGGAACTTGCTGTTAAAGAGGTTTGTTGATCGAAAAAAAGTATCGTTACAAATATGATTCCCTTGACTATTTGTTTAGGCTGAAGAAGAACGTGCTGCCATATTAATTAAGGAAAAAAAACGTAAGAAAAAAGAGAAGAAACGACGAAAAAAAGAACGAGAAGCACTAGAAGAGTCTCAGGAACAAGATACATTGAATGGAACAACAATTGAAAGTGCAAATGGTGAAATGGAAGTGGCTTAAAGATGTATTTTTTGCATTTTTCTATGAGTTATTACTATTGTAATTTTTCTCCATTATGCTATCATTATGTTTTCGGTTTTTGCCATTTGTTAAACTGTATTTTTTGTCAAACACCGCTCTTGTTTTTGTTGAACAGCGGATGTCTTCTTTGTGTTATAGAATAATAAATTCTAACCGACATAAAAACAATTGTTTCGTTGTTCCTCAGGTTTTTATGAACAATATATTGATTTGAAATGATTAAAAACTTTAAAACTAAATTTTATTTATTTAAGATTTTTTAACTATAATGACCACTCGAAAACAAACGCCCAGTGAATTTCTAAAACAAATTATTGGGCGGCCGGTTGTCGTCAAATTGAATAGTAAGTATTTAATATAACTGCTTGTTTTTCTGTTATTTAGCTTGATTTTTCTTTTAGGTGGTGTTGATTATCGTGGTGTACTAGCTTGTTTAGACGGTTACATGAATATTGTCTTAGAACAAACTGAAGAATATGTAGGTGGAGAATTAAAAAATAAATATGGTGATGCATTTATACGTGGTAACAATGTACTTTATATAAGTACTCAACGAAAGAAACTTTAAATTAAAAACGTTGTTATTGCTTTGGTTTCTTTTTCATTTTGTTTTGTACATTTATTGTTAAAAAAAACTAACAAAATAAAAAAACAACAAAAAAACATATGTACATTTGTTTTAAACGTAGTGAATACACACGAGTGATAACAGTGGATCATTAGACGAATAGATTGTCGTGTTAATGAGCAGAGTTTAATGAAGTAAGCTAAAAGTATGTTAATAATGAGATAATAAACATGAATTTTGTCGCAATTAACAGCTTTAAAAGCCGTTTATGAAACATGTTTATTATAGCTATGACATAAAAAAAATCGAAAAGACCTTTATTTAAGGTTCAGTGGGAGTAAGTCAAATTTCATATTTCGGAGTAAGTCCCTAAACTTCTGCTCCCCTTCCTCAAAAAATTTATAACGAAAACTCTGCTAATTAGAATAAAATTTCTATCGAGATGCAAAACATATCGATCAGTTCTCTTAGAGTGAATTACTTCGTTAAACGCATTTTTACACAGTTGTAATTAACATTACCTAGTTGGCATAATGTTTCATGTATTAATAAAATAGTTAAAAATATAAATATTAAAAATAACAAACACAAACAATAAAATACTCTAGTGTTGTACCAAATTTTGAGAAATGTTTGTACATCACGGATTAGATTGATCAGATATATGTCACATGAAATATTTGATATAGAAAGTTGAGAAAAACTAAAATTAAAATTATTCTAACACATTGATTATCTTTTAACGCTTTTTTGTTGTATGAGATTCTGAAATAGAATGGATGAATATGCCAGATATCAAACAGAACTTAGTGTTGTTGTTGATGTGATATAATTCCATGATTTACACGGTAATTGATTTAATTCTCTCATTCTAATAAATGTATAAGTAAATAGGCCAAACAATGTCAACATAATACCAAAAAATTGTTTGATATTGAGAGTATCTTTAAATAGAACAAAACCACCAACTAATATTGAAATTGTTTTCATATGACCAATCATATTGTATGTTAATGCTGATGTATTTCTTATTACCTAGAAAAATAGAACGATATTTGATAAAATAAAAAAACTGAAAGTTTTTAATTTATTGTTACCCAATAAACGGATAAATTGACCACAAATGCAACGATACCAGATGCAAGAACAGCCATAATGGCGTCTCGTTGTTCTTCATTTGTAGTATATGTTGGTATTTTTTCCGATATTAAAATTAATGGTACTAACAATATGGCTGATAATGGTGCTTGATAAAATAATAATTGCTGAGGACTCATATCAAATTCTTTTTGTTTTTCACCAACCTGAAAATTATGTTAAAAAACTATTTATTGTTGTATTTTAAATTAAAAAAAAATTATAAACATACCCAAACTTGATAAATTGATGCTGATACTACTCCCAAACTCGCTATTATTGTACCAAATATTGTTAGTTGTATATCATTAACAGAATGTGTACAAACACCGATAACAACTGGTACTAATGATAAAATAACTAACTGTGAATATTTCGTGTTATAATGATACCAACTAATGAGAGCAACTACTGGCGTTGTTAGAACTTTGAACAATTGATATGTTCCGATTGTATTGTATTCTAATGACATGTTCGTAAATACAACAAAGGCACAAAACGTTACTGATAATGGTAACACTTTTTGTATTGGTATTATTTTTCTTGTGAATGTTTTGAATTGTAAACAAATTAATAAACCAATCGATGTGAATAACATTTGAATGGCAGTTAATGTCATCGTTTTTATATGACAATTTTTAAAGATATATTTGTTTAAAAATATAATGCCAATTGAAGCTAAAATGTTTGTTGCACAGCCAGTAACAACACGGATTTGTTCTTGTAAAACAGACGACGCTGAACGTTGCCGAGAGGATGTTGAAGCCATAGAAGGAGATTCGTTAAATGAATCGTCTTGTTTTAACTAAAATAATAAATTCTAAGTGAACCGTGCATTTAGTTTGACAACTAAAAATTGATAAAGAATTGAGGATAATACATATAGTAAGCACAAATATTATTGGAATCCCTTTATTCTCGATTTGTCTTGTTGATTATGAAATCAGAAGAGTAACATCAATGACTAAAAGTGTTTTCAACAGAAGGTTATGTATAAAAATTCCACTGCAATTGTTAAAAATTCGGTTTCTGGGAAATTCAAATCCTAGAAAATCAAGTCTCTGAATTAAATCGGAAACTTTTTCCAAACAACTTACGAGGGAACATATCCAACTGTCACATCATTTTTGACTTCGAAGACAGTTCTTTGTAGGTTATCGATCATGCTGATTCCGAATATAAACATGAGAGCTGCTAATGTTGGGTTCTTCAAGGGTTTGTTGGAAAACCAATTTTTCAGAAACTCCGAAACTTTTTCTTAATAAGGCATGTTTGTAGCCCGCAAAAATCTGATAAAAATGAGACATCCGCCAGCTCTACCCGACCTGTCTTTACAAAGTTATAGAATTTACCAGAAAAGCCCTAAATGTTCATTGTCACCGCAGAGATATAGAAAGAAAAAGGAAAAATGAATTTAGAGCTTTTCTTATGAATTCTAGAGCTAACAGATGTCTCATTTTGATTAGAATTTTGCGGGCTACAAAGTTATTAAGAAAAAGTTTCGGAGATTTTTCGGAGTTTCTGGAAAATTGGTTTTCCAGAAAACTCTTGAAGAATCCGACATTAGCGCTCTCATGTTTATATTCGGAATCAGCATGATCGATAACCTACAAAGAACTGTCTTTGAGGTCAAAAACGATGTGACAGTTGGATATGTTCCCTCGTTGGTAGTGCAAATATTTCTTGAAACACGTCTCCGAGGTATGCGCAATGTATATAAATTAACGGAAGATCCGAAATATATTTCTTTTTTTATGCATTATTTTTTTCTGTCAATTTTGCTAGTTTTAATCGTCTGGCGTCTTTTGCTTAGCTGTCACAATCAAAGAAATACATTATATCGAACGACAACAAAATTTTGTTAGTAAAATATCATACGTACTAGCGGTTGCCATGCGCCGTACCGTTTGCTTGTTTTGTTTAGTACAAAAGGATATTGTCATTACGAAGCGTTAGATATCACTATAACCATAAACTTCAAGAGTTCAATTTTCAATAATATAACTTGAAAAATACACATTCACCGAGAATTTGATTTTCTAAAAAATGAATTCGCATTCGCTGAGAATTCATTTCGGTATGCAATGATGGTCATAAGACGTACTGTTGTATATGGTGTGCTTGCGATTTCTCTCGTATTTTCTGACTGACTCAGGTCACCATATAGATTTCTTACGATTTTTAGATATATGTATTCAAACAGTAAGATGCTGATAGTCCCTAAATTTTTTGTTTATGTATTTCAGCTGTATTTTCTATGCAAGCTATTTTCGAAGAGTTTATTCAATGAATCCATATCTTTCTAAACATATACCTCCGCTTCGTTACCTAGCCTAGATGGTGATCTAAACTCGTCAGAAAATAGTAGAAAATTTGCAATCGATTTTGACGTGAACCAGTGAGAGAAAAAAATAAACATTGTAAGTCTATAGCCAGCATGAAAACATGTTGCATACCGAAATAGTAAAGAATAACTCGATTCGTCGCGAATGCGAATTTTCCATGATCTCTTAAATAATGTTAAAAAAATAATATTATATTTGTTTCGACATGCATAAAACTATTGATTGACTTAGAAATAATGATACACTTTTGTTTTAACTTTCTCCGATGTTATTCATCGAGTACAAATTTGCACTTCTCGATCGAATGAGAGAATTTAATTCTCTACAAAACTAGCTTGTTTCATTCAAATTTTTATTTTGCTGTTGTAGGATACGGCAGAATAAAATGAACTAAATCAAAAATAATCGAAAGATAATGTCAGTTTTACACTTTGAATACACCAAAATAAATTTCTTCGTAAAATTCTGCATCTTTTGATGACACTTTAGTATTTTCTGATTGGAAAACGCTAAAGTGATATGGAACGATATGGAAATGGTAGTTTAAAGTAAATGGATATAAGAAATTTTAAATGTGTCTTTGGTGATGATACTCCGTTTTGTATCGTTAAATTAAGATTATATCCTATCAAACTTAATGCAGTATTTGAGAGAATTGACTACTGCATTTTTGTCTAAAAAACAAGAGCTTTTGACTTTTCGATCTTCACACTCTCGCGCGTCAACTACAAACCATTCTCAAAATCACTTTTTGATCATTGTAATGTAGAATCAAACGTTTGAAGAAAGTTAAAGTATAAGACCGATCGATAGAACAGAAAATTGTCTATCTTGTTGTTGAAAAGCTTTTACTAAAAGATGTCGTTTTCACGGGTATTTTATCTTATACAAAATTCGTGCAGATTTTTTTCTGCTGCACTCTACAAAAAAAAAGAAAGATCTGAATTAAACCAGCTGGAAGTAGAAACTAAGTAGTAAATTAAAATATATAATATATATATATATACAGTAGAAAATTAAATTCTCAATCGAATGAGCTCAAGTACAATTTGTACTTGATGAATAACATCCAAAAAAAACCTAAGTGCTTCGCTCTTTATGGGCTACCCGTTCACTCTACTTAAAAAGATACTAAGAACATCTCAGATTTCCTAAATTCTTCTCTTAAATTTAAAGTTAGATACTTGATGAATTATTTCCTTAAGTTTCGTAGCATAATTGTTTCTAATCATTTTCTATAGCTTGTCGACTGTTTGATAATTTTTCTCTTAGAGCTAAGCTAAGCTATTAGAAAAAGTATAATGACAAATAGAAACGAAACACATTTTAATATTCATTTCTATTTGTCTTCTTACCTTTCTCATTTTTGTTTTCCTTAAAACCGTATGTGGTTGTTCACATCGGTATTTTCCATCAGTAGTTTATCAAAAAATGATAGAGACCTGTTATAACTCACACATTTTTTTAGGTTATGTCGTATGATTGAGCGAAGAACACTTTTTTTTAATTTTATAACACGTTGTTCCGCATCGACGGTGTTCGAAGTATATTATGTATGGAAAAAAACAAGTAAAAGGACAACAAAAAAAAAGACTTAACATACAGTGTACAATTATCTTTGGCTTCATTTAGCTAAACACACAAAGAAAATGGGTTATCCTATTAGTCGTATATATTATCGAATATGAGGAGAAGGTCATCTTATCACAGAACAAGATAAAAATAAATACGGATAGAACGATTTGAAGTCTACTTTTTATATGAAGATGGAAAATTAAATAATTTTGTTGCAGATTTTAGCCCACCAATAAAAGGTTGGTGGGCTTATTCTACATCACTGACGTAAGCACCCTCAAACAATCGCTCCATTTCTATTATCTGTCCAAATGAATAGTGGTCGCGGTCATTTTTTTTATAACTTTTTAACGAAACAAGATGAAGACCTGCGGTTTCCAGTTTCTTGAAACCCGGACCTAACAGCAACTTCCTATCTGTAAATCAATTCTACCAATGAGGTCTATCACGGTGTATCTGGTCGATGTCCAAAGGCAAGATTACCGCTCCCTAACTTTTCATACAAGTCTAATGTTTAAAACTACACCTAACGTAGAGCGACATCTAGTCTACATTTCTGCCAAAATCCAACAGCTCCATCTGCGATCGTCCGGGTAGCAGCAGACTTTTCCTGAGATACCTGAAACCGATTTTCTCGATACTTAGAAATTTGAAAACGCATGGAAACATAGCTTATCGGCCACGCTGAATCTCATGACAATGGTCATTTTTCGAAAAAGCTTCAAAAAATAGTGAAAACCTATACTAGACGAAATAATCTATCTTCCACTGTTTTCACCGAAAATTAAAATTTCATAACTCAGTAGAATTGATTTATAGATAGGAAGATGCTGTCAGATCCTGGCTACAAGACACTGGAAACTGCAGGTCTTCATCTTGTTCCGTAAAAAGTTATAAAAAAAAGGACTGCAATCACCATTCATTTGGACAGATAATAGTTGTATGGGGGGTGTGTGCGACATATGAGTGCGTTGCATTTTAGTGCGTGTTTTTTTAGCGCGTCTCATTTGAGTGTGTTCCCATTTTAGCGCGTCTCGTTTGGGTGCGCTCCCATTTTAGTGCTTCTTATTTAGGTGCGTATTTTTCTTCGATTTTCCATTAAAAAAGACAAACGCGAATGATAATACTTTATTATGGAATAGACTGAAAAATGCGAATAATTCTGTAAAAAGGTGTTCCACCGGCCTGTGACGTTGGTACAACTTTAAAGTTGCCATCACATGGACTTCTGTAGCATTGAATAAGAAACGAAGCCCGTGTTCTGCCGCGAGTACCATATATCCTGAACGAGAAATTAAAGCATTTAAGAATAAGAAAATCGAAAGGTTTTCTCTTACCTGAACTTTGAACTTGTAAGAAAGTTTCTCCTGTACGCAATTTTTCATATTTATCCGGAATACAAAGATTTCGCAACGATATTAGTCTCAGTGATTCATTTTTATTTCCTTTATGT